GGAAAAGGGTACTGTTTTGGATTCTAGCAATATGTAAGGACATCAAAGAGAATGGAAGGGATATTTTGACTGAAAGCTTGGAACTGTCTCTCAGCCTGGGACTCTTGCAGGCACCTGTATTTTTGTGGGGCCCTCAGCATCTTGAGCCTTAGCTCTCTGGTGAGAGGGCTGGATGAGACAGAGTACAGGGATTCTTCCCCCTTTCAAAACCCCCTTCAACTAAGAGGCTTTGGAGCAAGTAGGAGTCATTAATTCCATTTCAGGTAAACTCAACCAACCTAGTATTTGCCAGGCCAGGTCCTGTTGAAGTTTAATTGGGAGATCTGCAGAAAACAGTTAACATAGCAGGCCTGAGACTGCTATCCTGAGAAAGATCTGTTTACACCACTGGCCCTTGGTATTTGGAAACTTTGATTTCAGGAGGATTTTTGACATTCCCAGAACTGATAAGAGCAGGTGCTTAAACTGTTTTGTACAAATAATGTAGTTTGTGCTGAACACCTGCTTTCCTTTTGGGGGTCTGGAATTTTGGTGCAGGCTAGGCAGGGATGCCTACATGGCCTGCCCCCAATAAAAGACCTGGGCACTGTCTTGAATTAGCATCTCTGGTAGACAACATTTACATGTGTTGTCAGTTTGTTGCTAGAAGAATTAAGCACATCCTTTGTGACTCAAGTAGGAGAGGACTCTTGGAAACTTGTGATGGGTTTCTTCTAGACTGCGTCCCCTGCGTCTTTTCCTTTTGCTGATACTGCTTCGTAAACTTCACTGTAATAAGTCATAGCATGAGTGTGATAATAGGCTGAGTTCTGTGAGTTCTCTTAGAGAATCACTGAACTTGGAGATAGTCTTGGAGATCTCAGACAAGATAAACCTAGATTTCACAGGGAAATCTTACATCAATTTCTTATGAATCCTATATACCAATCTGATATCAATCTCTTATTAATATATAGCTTAAACCAACACTGTCCCATAGAAATACATCAGTTGTGTATGTAAATTTGTTTTCTAGCAGTCACATCTTAAAATGTAAAAAGAAACAAGTGAAGTTAATCTCAAGAACATATTTCCTTCAACTCAATATGTAAAAATATTAACATTTCAACATGTAATGATATAATGGTATGTTGAGATATTTTTACATTCTTTTTTTTCATACTAGGTCTTCAAAAACCAGTGTGTATTTTACAGTCTGTAGCCCATCTCAATTTGGACTAGCCACATTCCCAGTGCTCAGCAGCCACACCTGGCTAGTAGCTGCCAGGTTGGACAGCACAGGCTTAGTACAGCACATGGGCTCTGGAGACAGGACATCTGGGTCAGAATCCTGGCTCTGCCCCTACCAACTGCAAGATCTTAGGAAAAGTTGCTTCATCTCTCTATGTATTGGTTTCTTCCCCTGTAAAATGGAGATAATAATGTTAGTGGTCTTGTGAGATTGCAGGGATTTTTTCAAAAGGTTAATAAGCCTAAGTCAGTACCTGGTACATTTAGGATGTTGGGTGGATGTTAGCTGTTACTCTTATTATCCAAAAGCTTGTCCCTTGAGATCAACTTGTCTTAACTCCTCATTCTACAGATGAGGAAACTGAGGCCCAGAATTTGGAAGACATTGGTTTCAAAGGCAAAGGCATTAGCCACTTATCTTGATGGACTGCCTGTTTCCTGGCTGGTTTGGAGGTTGGATTTGCCAAATTATTCAGGAAACAGAAGCTCCATGGCCACACCTGGGTTCTGCAATCCCCTCCAGATTGCAAAACAAGGGCACTGTTTGAAGTTGGCACTGAAGTGATGGGGGCTGGGCCTCCCTCCTGTTACCACCAACTGGGCCCTTCACCTAGGCTGGCTGACCCCAGAAGTGAATCCAGTGCTTACTCAGCAATAATAGGGCTGGCTTCCATTGTTACGGCATTTAACCACTCTCCTTATTTATTAATTCATGTTCTATCATGCTTGAAAACACAGAGCATTAGCACTTTTTAAAAAAACTTCCTTTATGTGATCTGTCATCTCTATCACTCACCAGACTGGTAAGAAGTGAGCTCCTAGTACATGCCTCAAAAAAAAGGAGGGTGCAGAGGTACCGGGTGCCCACTTGTCTGGAATGCAGTATAGCGCATTCTCAGGCTGGAAACAAAACTGGCTTATGATTCCTCTACAGCATCTTTATCTTTCCTTTCCCAAAAACCAATCTAAATCATCAACTCTCCTCTGACAAGTGCACTTAGCACAGTTCACATGTTTTGAGTTTTACTAGCAGCTGGTATCAGACCAGATTTGAGGACTCAAACTTATTAGCACATGCTGACCTGAAGCTCTGCTTATCCTATATGCCAAATAGGGTTTCATTTGACATTCTTTTAATAACATATTCATCAAGCATCTACTATGTATTAAGCTCTGTGCAAAGTGCTGGGAATGAGGCCTTTGTGGACCTTATGATTTAGTGTAGAAAACAGAGGAGCAAGAAATGATAATAAAGTACAACAAAAGGTTGATGTAGAAAGTGCCAGGTACTATTGGAACTATAATAAAGCAAGGGGACCTGAACAAAACTCTTTCCTTACTAAGAGAAATTTAAGTTGAGACCTGAAAAAATGGTAGGAGAGAACCAGTTAAAGAGAATGTGGAGTGCTCCAGCCAGAGGGAACAACATAGATAAAACCTGGAGATGAGAGAGAATGGCACGTCAGGAGAACTGAACAAAAGTCCGGCATAGCTGGTGTGGAGAGAATAAGAGGAGTGTGGCAAAAGAGAGGAAGTGGCTGGATTTTGAGGACATTGTCTGAGGCTCTAAGGAATTTGGACTTTAACCTGAGGGCAAAAGGAAACAGGCTGGTGGAGAATAACATCTTTCAAAACACAAATATCCTGGGAACAAATCAACTAAAGTGCTAAAAAGGCTGATGTGAACAGACGTCAGATGGGAAGGACTGTCTTTAATCTCTTTTTCATGCTGTTTCCACCAAGGCTCAGCCCTCCTTTGAAAGTAGTCAGCAGTGTAAGGGGCCTCTTCAGCCCCAGGCCACGCTCCCCACCCTCCCACCCCACTGTCCATGAAATCAGTTTTCCTGAGCTTGGTGCAGTAAGGCCTTCCTTGGATTCTAGAGCCACAGAGATCACCACCGAGAGACTCTCAAAGACCCTTGTTTAACAGATGGACCAACTGCGGCCTGAAGAATAAAAGTAACTTGTCTGTGGCCCCATAGCAGGCCTCAAACCTCTGACTCCTTGTCTCCCCTGAAGACTGCAAAGCAGAACTGGGACTAGGCTGAGGCAGGTCAAGCACATAGGGTGCAAAGTTTAAGAAGGTGCCTACTCTCAGGTGCCAGCTCTGCCTGTGCATGACCTTAAGGTGCGCACTTCCCCTCTCCTAGTCCTGGCCTTATTGGACACACCTTGAGGGCAGGGGTTGTAACATCCAGAAAATTCTCTGACATCTCTCATGGTATTATCATACAAGGCACATATTTTAAGGTTCACTGGATGCCTACTGGTGCTAATAAACAATGGATTTCTGATAAACTGATAGGTATACAGGTATTTGTACCTTTGGGTAAATATGACCTTCAAAAGACAATAGGACAAAGTGAAGAAGGCCCAAGACTAGGATCTAGAGATCTGCATTCTGGTCCCTTCTCTGTCACAGATTTACCATGGGGACTTGAGTAAACTGTTCCCCATTCTAGACTTCAGATAAATACAGTAGTTAAATAAATAACACTTACTGAGCACATAAGCTGTGTCAGCTACTGTTCAAATTCTCTGTGCTTTAACTCTTTTAAAGACTTTTGGCCTTTAAAGTTTCCTTCAGCAGGCGATGGTTTGAGGTAAGGAAGGCTTCAAGGAGAATGTGGGACTTGAGACAGATCTTCCAAATTCCCCCAGGGACAATAATGTCTTAAATCATAGTAAAGGCATGGTATCTCAAAACACTTTTCCATCAAAAGACAGAGAATCACCCACTTGCCTCAGAATCACCTTTGGAACATGTTTGAAGGCAGATGCTCAGCCTCTACCCCTAGAGGCTTTAATGTATGATTTGGAAGTGGAGCCTGGGAATCTGTATTAAAGGCTTCCCAGGTAGCTCTGGTAGTCAGGCCGACTTGGAAAGCTCTGATCTGCATTCCCCTTTCTGAGGACAGGGTCTTATCTAGACAGCCCAGACCTAGAGCTGCTGAGCTGGTCATCAGTATCTTCAAGCAGAGAAACTGATTCGTTGATTGGTTAGTGCAGCAAATATTAAGCACCTGTTGTGCTGTTGACCGAGTACCAGGTGGTGATTATGGTTCCTACTCTCAAGGTCTAGGTCGGTCACTTATTTTACAAGCAAAGTCATTGAGCTAGAACCAGAAGGGCCTTAGAGATCATCAACCAATCCCATCATTGCATGGTTGGGGAAACCAGGACCCAGAAAGGGGAAGCCATATGTTCAAGACTACACAGGGAGCAAATGTATTTTCTGCTCCCAAACCAGCTGAGGTATCCCAGTGTTCTTCCCAGGAGGGGGTGGCCTTCAAAGTCCAGGGCACCCACTCTTTGCTTTTTAAGCACTAAACCTATATAGAATAAATGTCCCTGGAAGTTTCACTTCAGATCCTGCTGGCATTTGAAATCCTCAACATCCCTGCCACAGGGATGGAGGCAGGAGGGAAGGGGGAGCCCCACACCATGAGGTGTTCTGCCGCACCTTCCCGCTGCGCCTCCATCAGGTGGTAGGGCTGTGTTTTAAGTTTAAAAGCCTTTGCCTGGCTGTGATGGGGGGTATTGTACCTGCCTCTGCCTGCACTTCAGAGCCTGAAAGACGAGGGGGTTCACCTCGTGGCTTCACAAGGACCTGGCTCCCTTCTCTCTGCTCAGACTCGCTTATGTCACTGTCGCTGCGAAGGAGGGCAAGTTATTCCCGCCCCTGAAATGTCAGCCACCCTGTGATTGGCTACAAAGACTCCGGCCCGGCCGTGGATTGGTCATGGCTGAGGGCTTGAAAGGTGGCAGAGCTTCGGACACCTCAGACGGACCGTGGCCCGGGATCAGACCGCGTCTCAGGCGAGTCCGAGACGCGCCGCGATCCCGCCATGGCCCGGCTGCTGCGGGCATCCTGCCTTCTCTCCCTGCTGCTGGCGGGCTTCGTCCCGCCGAGCCGGGGACAGGAGAAGTCGAAGGTGAGTGAGCCTCGGAGTGGGGGCCCGAGGGAACCAACACAGCCCCCGGGTGTCCATCTCCCGGTGACGAGGTACCTCTCCTCCCGGGCTCCCCTCCAGAAGATCAACACTAGGTGCAAGGGACACCCTTAACTCCGGTGGTCACCCTCCTGCCGACGGGACCCCCACACCGGGACCGGGTCCTGCGCAGTTCCATCCCTAGGCGGCCTGGCGGGCGGGCAGGAGGGAGGGTGTGCAGGGAAGGAGTAGCGCTCCTCCCCAGTTCCTGGCCTCTCCCTCCTGGCGGCCTCAGGGTCGCCTAGCTGCCTCCCTGCGGCCCCTGCCCCTAAGCTACTCCCCTCCAGTAGAGGCTGAAGTGGGTGCGGGCACAGAAAAAGACCCAGAGACTTGGTGTCTGGACTATCTGCGGAGGTTTCCCGGGGAACTGACAGGCAAGGAAAAGGGAAAGAGAATACATCTGGGTGGTCTCGGTGCTGAAGTATTGTGGTGGGGGCACTTCCAGGCCAAGAATGCAGGTAGAGGGGCCCACGTGGATTCCAGGGCACTGGTAGAAGAGGCAGGATCTGTGATAGAAAGAGCTCTGGACTGGCAGTGCAGAACAGTCAGAACTCCAACTAGATCCCTAACACTTCCTAGGCTTCAGTTTCTCCATCTGCAGGTCACACAGTGTGTGTTGGGGGGTGGGGGGGCGGGGGATGGGGATGTTTGGAGAAGCTGCAAAATCCACACACTGTTCTCGGAAGGGTTTCCTGTTCCCGAGCAGCCTCATTACCCACCACACACTGCCCATGTTGGCAGAGCAAACCTGATAGTTGGGGAAAGCTAGGGACTGCCAGCTCAATATGAGAGGCAGGATTCTCCTGAGCCTCAGTCAATTCCCAGCAGAGCTGTGTGACCCTTAATGAGAGTGGGGATGCTGAGGCCAGGAGCAAGGGTGACCCAGCATGCTATCTCCTTGGACAGTAAATGCCAAGGTGGGCCCTGTAGACTCCTCCTCTTCCCCAGGGGGGGGAAGCAGAAGCCAAGCATAGGGATAGATCCAGAGAGAGGCTTCTGTCTCTGACCTCCCTACACATGTCACACACACACACACACACACACATTTGTGTAAACTCAAGAAGCTATTTCTGAAATCTTCTGGATCTTGTGGGTCCATGATTCTGTTTCCAAAATGCTACCCGCTGCTCAAGAGGCCCCTCCAAATACAGGGTTCCTTCTGTCTGTTTCTATCCCCGATCCTTTCCTCAACCTGAATCCCATTTAGTCTGTCCATCCTTGAAGTCAGCACAGAGACTGCATGGCTACAAAGCCACTTCCTCCAAGTCTCTTCATTTGTATCTGGCCCTGTTCACAACCCCCAACCCAGAAGGCATTTTTAAGGATAGGGATGGGACTGAGTTTCAAGATAGGGTGTGGGGTGGGAAAGGCGCAGACCACAGGCAGGCCAGCATGAAGTTAGTCCCATACCCTTGGTTTGGGGAGAGCCAGAGAATAGAAGATTGGGCCTGGCCTCAAGAAGGCTGGAGGTAAAAATGTGGACCCCATGAATAACTCACCATCGCCAAGTGTTCCCTACAGAACTCTGGGAAGGAATAAATGGATTCCAAGAGAACAGGATGGGCATGGTCTTCAAAAGTCAGGGATCGTATCAGATGCAACCAGCTAGGACTTGTGGGCTACTGGCAGTCTGGGCATGCCCATCTTCCCTCCCAGGTCCTTAGAGAATGGAGATGTCATAACTCCAGGCTCTAGGCCTCAGCGGCAGCCAAGATGGCTTGTGGGGAACAGACAAAAGATGACAGCCAAGAAGGGATGTTTTCCTCCGCCCAATTTGAAGAGAGGGCTAGGGAACAAAGCAGAGTCTCCTGTCCTTGCCGTGTCTCCCCTCCAGTCCAGCATAAAGCTGCCCAGGCTCACTCTTTTTGCTCCACAACAGCATGTTACAGAAACTGAATAATAACAACTGCTGACGTGTGTGGGATCCTAGTAACCGCTGGTTTCTAGGTGACCAAAACAGGCAGAGAGAATCATGGAACACAGGCTGACAGAGCTGAAGGGCTCTTTAAGACAGCACTGAATCTGACCCCATCTCACAATTGAGGAGCCGGAGCCCCAGAGAAGGAAAAGGAGTGGTCATATGGAGTCAGAGGCACAGCCAGACCCAGAACTCTGATCTCCGGCCCCAAGCCCAGGTCTCACCCACAGCATCACAGTGATGGGAATGGAAAGATAGGAGAGAAGAAAGATACAAGGCCAGCAGTGACAGCCAGCTGGGGGCCTGCCTGAGACCCCTCGCAACTCTGGAGCCATCAGAACTCTCGCACCTTGTTGAGCTGCGGGAGGACTGAGGACCCTCCCGGCCTCTCCCCTCCGTCCCTGGCCTCCCTGTTCAAGGTGCAGGACTCGGATTCTGCGGCCCAGAGGAGGAAGGAGGCTCACGTCAGGACTGGGCTGCAGTGCTCGGTGGTATGTGCAGGCCCTGACTGCCCCTGCCATGGGCCTCCCTCTGACCCCGTCAGTCTGGACCCACGGCACTGGCCTTTCTGGCTTCAACAGGAAGCATGAAGACTGTCACTTGTCCCTCCAGGAGGCACCTTGCCTGCTGCACCATCTTCACACTGGCTGGGGAACATCAAAGGCCCCTCACAATAATGGGGGAACATCAGGGCCCTTTTCCCTAGCTGCAGATAGAACAGCCATTCCTCCTTGGTATGGGGAGTTCTCTCCAAGAGGCTTTCTAGACTTATCTGCTGGTGGATTCTCACAGCCATTCGGGGTGGCAGGTGGTATTTTCCTGGCAGCAGACTGAGGCTCAGAGAGCAAAACTGACTGACTGACCCAGGACCACACAGCCAGCAAAGAATAAAACCCAATGAGAGGAGATGCCCCTTACCCTGCCCCAACCCTGAACCGGTGCCCAGAAGCTGATCCTGTTGTTCCATTATTTGGACAACCTCTTGGCTTTTTTTCTTTCCATTTCCCAGAATTTGTTTTCAGGTTGAGCAGAGCGGAAGAGGTGGAGAGGCACGCAGGACGGCCTTGCCTTCTAGCTGCTAGACCTCTGTGGCCAACTGGGGTATATTTGTTTTGCCCTGGGTGCATTTTGAGGTGGAACCAACCCTAGCTTGGGCTAAGGAGGCCCAGGGGTGGAGGAATGTTGAGCTTAAGTCTCAGGCCTGCCTCCAGCACTCACCAAAAGTCACAGGGCATGGAATATTAGACACATGTCAAGCAGGGAATTTGCACTGAAGCCAAGAAGGGACCTGCGGCTGTCAGGGAGTGGCTTGGTGGAAGGAGTACCTATGGCATATTCAGGACAGAGATGGCTTTTCTCCACCCTCCGGGGGCCACGCCCTGCCAGCCAACTTCCTTCATCCTGTCAGGCCCAGGTCCCTCACCTCAGCAACATGCCTTCCAGGACTGATGGCAAGAGAGGACATGAATCTGCTTCTCTAACTCCAGCCACAAGCCTCTGTCTCTCCTGATCTATTGAATGTTAGTTGGCATTCAATTGGTTTGTCTTTCCATCTCTGTTTTCTACAAGAGGACAGGAGACAGAGAGCAGCTGATAGAATGGTGGCAAATTTTTTTGCCCATCATAACCAGCCTGCCTGCTGATTGTTACTGATACCATGACACCCTTTAAGGGGAGATCCAGATTTTTGCAGTCTATACCCAAGGTGAGGTGAGGGTGGAGTTCAGTCAAATGCAGTATCCTGCTTGCTAGCAGTAATCCCACTCCCTCCTCTCCCATCATGGTTGTGAAAAGCTGATCCAGTTCAAAGTTCTCATTTTATAAAAGAGGAAGCTAAGGCCCAGAGAAGAGAAAGGTCTAGTCCAAGACCACAGGGAGTCAGTGGTAGAGCTAGATGTGGAATCCAGGTGCCCCAGCTGGGAGCCCATTTATTGTACGCTGTCCCTACTTGTCCTGCAGGGTTGACTGTGGGGCAGCAGCTGGGCAAGGAGGAAACATAATAGTCATCGTCACAACTGCTCACCCACATCTAATAAGTGAACACCTAACATGCCAAGCGCCACTGCTTTACCCTCATTGTCATATTTAATCCTCACAGCAGGTCTTCCCCCTTCCTGGCTCCTACTCCAGCTTCCCTATTTCACAACAGCCTCAGCTTTCCGGTCCTCCAGCGAGGGAACCTCTCCATCACCCTCTCCATCCTGCCGCTCCCCCCTTCTGCTCAGTGCTTCCTTCACAACGGTCTGGCTCAGCCCTCAGCATCACTCACCTGGATTACTGCAGCAGCCGTGTCAGCGTGGCCTCCCTCACAGCCTGCTAAATGTTTATAAATTGATTTGTGAGGCAAATAAGGAATCCTCCAGGTTTCTATAGTACTCACTATGGCTTCTATAGTACACTATGGTTTCTATAGTACACACTAAGGCTTTCATAATCTTTATCTTTTATAAAGAATTAGGAGACCTTGGTTCTAGTCAGTTCTAATTCTTGTAGTAGTCTTGGCAAGCCACTCTCCCTGTTGGGATCCTTCATTATCTTGAAAACGGAGGAGTCCAAGTTCCCTTCCAGCTGTAACTGCTTTTCTGTTCCAGACGGACTGCCATGCTGGTGTAAGTGGCACCATCTACGATTACGGCGCCCTCACCATTGATGGGCAGGAGTACATCCCCTTTAAGCAGTACGCTGGCAAATACATCCTTTTTGTCAACGTTGCCAGCTACTGAGGCTTAACAGGCCAGTACATTGGTAAGACCCTCCTCCTCTGCTGTATCTGGGGCTCCTTCTGCCAGTTGGGCACATTTCAACCACAGGAGCTTTTCTGGTACAAAAAGGAAAGGAGTGACAGTGATGATGAGATTCTAAGCTCTGTATCCCAATTCTACTGTTTCATGATTTTGTGACGATGTTTATATAAGCCTGAGGTATTATCATGTTTAGAGATGTTCTAGAAGATTCCCAGTTATTCTTCTTCATTCTTGGGCACCTCAGCTGACGTAAAAGCAGTGGGATGGAGTTTGGAGTGACTGGAGCGACTTTCACTGCATTAAGAAATGGCAGCCTTATGTCGCTCAGTCTCTCATCTGCCCTCAGCCTCACCTGCCTTCGTGCTTCTCTTGGCCACCGTCTGGGAAGCAGGCAGTTGGCCCAAGGCCCCAGAGTGTGCTGGTGACAGAGCAGGAGCTTCGCCCAGGTTTCCTGATCTTAGTGTCCTCACTCCTTTCTCCTTAGCCGGGGCAGAGTGAAGAGCCCGAGGAGCAGGAAGGCCAAAGGCAGCTGACAGCACCCAGCTGGAAAGTGCTTTGGAGTGGGGCAGTCTGTTGGCAGGGCCAGGGGAGGCAAGGGCAACCTGACCCTGAATGCTCTGCCTGGCAATCACAGGCAGATTCCTGACGGGGGATGGCAAGGGGCTGGGTGGCCCAGTGCACAGTGAGTGCCGTCTGGAATGCTTCTGTCTAGTCCTTGGAATAGAGCAGATTGCATCTGTACAACATCTGGGTGCTGGCACTGCACAAGAGGCCAGGCAGCATGAGGGAACTGGGGAGCTGGGCCAGGGCCTCCTTGGGTTCCTGAATCACCAGAGTCTAAGAGGTTGTGAGGGTCCCATGCCACAGCAGGGAAGTCCTCGGCCTTCTCCTCAGGGATGGAAGGTTCTTGCTTCAGGAAACCCAGTCCTGAATCCTGAAGAGGCCCTAGCCTCGTGGCCCAGGTGGGGGACTTCGGTGATGGGATGGTAACTGGCTGGTGATTTGAGGGGGAGCATTACTCTTTTCCCTCAAAACCTGCAGCCAATACAGCCTGGAGTGAGGAGGACAGGACTTGAATCCCAGCATCACCACACTCACTGGGTGGTGTTGCTCAGGCCTTGGTGAGTTCAGCTGAGCAGGTGCAGTGGCACAGACGAGGCAAGGCTCCTCACTAAGGCCACCTCCATCTCTGCTCTCTCTCCCGGGGCCAGAACTGAATGCACTACAGGAAGAGTTTGCACCATTTGGTCTCGTCATTCTGGGCTTCCCCTGCAACCAGTTTGGAAAACAGGAACCAGGAGAGAACTGGGAAATCCTGCCGAGCCTCAAGTGAGTGCTATGTCCTGAGAAAACCTCTCTAGTATGTCCACCCTGTGCCCTAGGCTAGGCCCCAAGCTTTTCTTGCCTTGCCCCCTACTAGTGACGGCCATTTATCAGCCACCAAGAATTACTCTCCCCTTCCAAGAACCCCATTTAATGGAATGAGTGGAAGAGGGGACAGGGACAGGGATGACTGGTTTTTAGTGCATGTGCAGGGCTCTGAGAGGGTCAACGAGAAGGTACCGAACTGAACAGACTGCGGAGCCACATTATGCCTATGCTTGTTCAATAGTCACTGGCTCCCAATGCCCACTGTGCAGTAAAACCCAGATTCCCTGCACAGCCTCCCCTACTCTGTCCCTTCTCATTTCTGAGCCCCGTGCCCATCTCCTTGGGACCCACATAGGAATGTTCCTTGCAGGTATGTCCGGCCAGGTGGGGGCTTCATCCCTAATTTCAAACTCTTTGAGAAAGGAGATGTGAACGGGGAGAAAGAGCAGAAGTTCTATACGTTCCTGAAGGTGAGTGTGCAGATGCCTCCGCAGGGGCTTCTTGCATGGCTGACACTGGCTCTGAACAGGGCCACACCCTCCTGGCTCCAGCCCATGCAGACAAGTCCCTAGCACCATCCCCTCCCCCTGGGCTCTTGGAGAATCTGTTGGCATCCAACTATCCTTCCAAGGAGAGGGCTCTGCAGAACCTGGGATCTCATCAGGATCCAAGCCTGTTTTATGGATAAGGCCCAGGCAGGGCCTCAGAATGGTCAAGCTAACAGTCTCACAATCTATTGGAGTCAAAGCCAGTTCTGGGATTCAGTTCTCTGACTCGACAACTGGTGCTCTTTTCTCAGTGCTAGGCTGTTCTCCTACCTCCAGGAAGGCAGGAGAAGGGGTGGGGCCCCAACAGGGTTGACACCATACACATTGCCCCTCCAGAACTCCTGTCCTCCTACCTCGGAACTCCTGGGCTCACCTGACCGCCTCTTCTGGGAACCCATGAAGGTCCACGACATCCGCTGGAACTTTGAGAAATTCCTGGTGGGGCCAGATGGCATACCCATCATGCGCTGGTACCACCGGACCACGGTCAGCACTGTCAAGATGGACATCCTTTCCTACATGAGGCAGCAGGCAGCCCTGGCGGTCGAGGGGAAGTAAATGAGGCCCCCCCACCCCACGCCTACCCTGCAGAGGCTGGGGAGGGACTGTTCAGGAAGGAATCCATTTCTTAAACCACACCACACTCCCACTATAGGCCCCTTACTATTACACAGGGCCCCAGCCTGACACAGTGTGCATACAATTGTGTGTGTATTGCTCTGCATGTGGGTGTTTGCACACATGCCCGCAGGTGTGTGTGACCATGTGTGCATGCACATTGAGTGCAGAGCCACCTACATCCACCTGTGTGAATACCTGGAAATGTGTATCGTATGTGCCCATGGCTGTGTCCCAGTGAAGTGCTGGAAAGTAACTCCCTTTCTTTCCAGTTCTCTGTTCCAGTGATAACAATTCACTTGTGGCTCATCCCAAATTAAAAACCAACTCTCAATCCAATTGTTCTGCTCTAACCTGGACCTCAACTTTGGGGCCAGCATCCCACTCCCTCCAAATACCACCACTGAAGTGCCCGGAATTTTCTGGGTCTACCACGCTGCCCAACCGCCCTTCTCCCCACCCTATAGCCTCTCTCCTTCCTGAAGGGCCTTCCCAAGCCCCCTCCCCCTCCCCTACCCCATAGTGCTCCCTGAGGAGCCAAGGCACACCTGAGGGAAGGGCCACGTTCCTGGTTCAGGGGTGGCATCTACATGAAGGAGGGGCCCGAAGCCCTTGTGGGCGGACCTCCCCTGAGCCTGTCTGAAGGGCCAGCCCTTAGTGCATTCAGGCTGAGGCCCACAGGCAGGGATACTCCCCCTCACCTTCGGAGGGTGTGCCCCCTCCCTCACCCTGGCCCCCTGGTGTCAGCCTCTCCTCGCATCTGCCCAGTAAAGGCCTTTGTGCAGCAGCTGAGCCTCCTGTGGTGCTTCCTCCATGGGGCTGCCCTCGCCGGGGTGGGGCTGGGGGAGCAGGAGGGGAGAGAAGAAATGAAGGGAGTGTTTCGGGCCCCTGCATTTTGGGTTCTACCTAGGTCCACACTGCTTCTCTAACCCAGCATTTGGAATTTATAAAACCAGTTCACATCTACTCTCATTTCTTCCCACAATTCTCCCACAGGGCAGCTAGGGCTGAGATGAGGTGTTCCATTTGACAGGTGAGGAAACTGAGGCTCACAGAAGGGCCAGGCCTCGCCCAGGGTTTCCTGTGTGAGGGGCAGGACTGAAATCTAAGTTCAGGTCCTTGACTCAGCCCAGGCACCACTCACCGCCCTGGATGCCCACCCTCAGGCAGGCTCCGAGCAGGTTCCTGGGGGGAAGAGTAACAGTGATGCGCTCAGGGGACTGGGCGGGGAAGGGGCGCAGAGGGAGGGAAGCAGGGAAGCAGCACTCCGAGTGACCAAGAGGGGAACGGCAGCCGGGGCATGGAAGAGCACCGCTCACAGAAGGTTCATCTTAACTTGGATTTATGTCCAAGATTTGTGCAAAGAGCGGCCTAGGGACAGACAGCCACCCCAGTCCGGGCCTCTGGCACCACAAGCCTCCAGCCGCCAGGTTCGGGGCCCATGTACTTCGGGCCAGGCCCCTCAGGGGATGCGGCTGGCACGGCCCTTCTCCCAGGCTGTGAGGGCACTGGCGGAACGGCTGTGGGTAGTAGTGGAGGGCCCTGCAGTGGAACATGCTGTCATTCTCTTTCTGCTCCTGGAGGCAAACATGCTCTCCCTACAGCGCCACACAGAGGGGAAGCTATGGCTGTGGGGCAGGTCCTGCTGCTACAGAGCTTGAAGCAAAACTTGAACACACATGAACTGAATGTGGTTCCCAGAGGGGCTGGAACCACTTCTGGGGAAATTTTGGAAGGAAGGGGTCTTGGATGCCCCCACTCTTGAGATTGACGTCCCCTTGGCTTCTGCAAAGGATGGCATGTCAAAACTGGACGTGGCCTCTACTCTAGGCAGCAGGGTGTTGAGTTTTTCCGGTTTTTCCACAGGAGGAGCCCAGATGGAAGCCTTCTGGGTGGAGCCTTCTCAGTCTGCACAGCTCAGGTCAGGCTGAGGCGTGAGCTGGCAGCCCATTTCAGCCTCCCATCCAGCTGAGGCTCTGGCCACAAACAAGTGGCCTCTAGTTTTTCCATGATCTGAGGTCAGCTGGCTCTATGAGATGAGGACGGAGCCAAGCAATGTGATCTGGTCTCACTGAGGCCCCTCCCGGTCATTTTTTGTGGATTCTAGATAAATAAAAATTTTGAGGATTTAAAGATGATGTGGTACAGTAGGTTTCAAAGTTCTATGGAAACCCATAGTAACTGAAAATAACAGCTGGAGTTATTAAGTGTTACCAAGTGCCAGGCCCTGGGCTAAGTGCCTTAGGTACATCTGTCATTCAGTCTTTGCCCAGCCCTGTGAAGAAGGCACATTATTACCGCTTTTTGGAGGAGGGATCTAGGGCACACAAGTTTTGAAAAACGTGCCTGAAGACCCAGATCTAGGAAGTGCTTGACCCTAGTCAGTCTGGCTCCAGATCCCAAAAGTGGAGAAGTTCTGGGGAGGAGACAGCCCTGCCCATTTGGCCTCTCTGTCCCTGACCAGAGCAGCCTCCCAGGGGTTCCACAAACCCTCTAGGGCTCGACAAGGAGCCACAGGAAAATGACTGACTAGCCCAATGCCTCCTCCTAACCACCAGATCCTCCGAACCACACTGCTCCAAGTCGTCCAGTGGCCTCTGCTCACACACATTCTGTGAAGGGGCACTGCCCCTCCTGGTGGAGCGGGCTCCACTTCTGCACAGCTGAAACCCTTAGAAAACTCTGTGCTGAGATGGACTTAGCCTCCCTACTGCTCCCACCCACTAGTTGTAATTTTGTTCCCAGAAGTCCTATGGGCAAGACAGTGTCTTTTGCACCCCACAGAGCCTTGCAGAAGGCAAAGGTAGTCAATAAGGACCCAGGGTCCCTCTGTGACTAGCAAACAAACTTCCAGTTCCCAACTGGTCACGGCAGATACCACAGCCAGCGGGAGCTTTCTGAATGAAAATTGAATCAGTCATGTCACTTTTCTTTAAAATGTCCAAGGCCTCCACATCCTTAGGGTAAAGATCAGCCCTCCTGCCATGGTCTGCAAGGCCCTGCGCTGCCTGGACTTGCTTACCTTCCTGCCTCTCCTTTCCCACCTTGTCCGCTGCTCCAGTCACACACACAGGCCCTCTCTCAATCCTCCAGTGGCTACCCTCCTTCCCTCCCTCCCACCAAGGCCTTTGTACCTGTCATTTCTCTGTGATAATATCCTCTGCTCACACCTCTTCATCTAGTTAATGCCACACATTCTGAAAATTTCAACTCAGCACTGCCCCAGTCTAGGTCAGGCTCCTGTTATCTGCTCTCATAGAAATCTGCTCTTCCTCCTTCAGAGCACTTGAGAGACAAGACCCAGCTCTAGGGAATCACGCTCACCTCCTGGTTCTGCAGGCCGGGCTGTGGGAAAGTCAATCACTTGGGAACTCTGACTGTGCATTCCTCCACAGGGTGGCCGCCAGGTGTATTCTGGCTGTAATGAAACTGGTGCTCAGTAATCAATAACTGAACTCAAAAATTGTAATAGCAGCTACCATGCCAGAACAGTACTAAATACTTATACATGTTAAGTATAAAATCCTTATGACAAGCCAGGTTGCCACCCCCACTTTACATGTAAATAAACTGAGGCTCAGAGGAGTTAAATAATCCCATCCTGCTATAGGAAAGTGGACAAGCTTCCATTAGAACACAGATCTTTATAACTCTAGACCCAATCTCTTAAGCCCCACACTATCCTCCAGTATTTAAAGATGTGTGGAAGGAATGGGCATAGGGAAGAAGCCAGAAGAGAGGCCAGACAGGAGGCTACTGCTGTCCAGGTGAGAGCAGGGATGCCTGGGTGAGCTGTGGCAGAGGGACTGGAGAGGATGGGACAGGTGACAGCAGCTCTTTGAAGAAAGAATGATAAGGGCCCTTTTGCAGCCGGGTGGCGGGAGAGCAGAAGTGGATGACTGCTTTTCCAGAGATAAATTGAGAAGTCATCAAAGATTAAGTAAAAGGGGAGACTGGATTAAGGACGGCAGCATGAGAGCTGAGAAAGAGGCTTCCTCCTAAAACTACACATAACACGAAAACATAATTAATAGAACTAATCCTGAAAGAGCAACAGGAAAGAGGACTGCGCCAGATTGCATACACCTAGAGAAAAGAGCAGACCTCACGGGACAGAGTAACGTACCAACGCTGTGGCCTGGAGGGACCCAAGCCCTTCCCTCACCCCAGCTCAACAGCAGGAGGAAGAGAAACGGAGCGGGGAGGGAGTGGAGGCCTGGGATTGCTGAATACCTAATTCCAAAGATCTGCTCTGGGAGCACAAACCTACATTTCATGGTGCTTTCATGATACTCTCATGATTAGGGGGTTCGAAAGCTAAGACAGGCAGAATTCCTGGAGAGACTGAGATCCCAGCTGCTTGTAGAAAGCACAGATCCATATTGGGGTGCTCTGGGACAAGAGAGGCAGGCAGTCTGAGACACTTCCTACCAAGGAAGCCCTTAGCAAGAGGGCGGCTAAAGGGGCAAGGATTGCACAGAGCTTACTGCTCAGGAGAAAGGACAGGTAGACAAAATTGTCCAGGTGCACTCTGCCCAGCAGGTTAGGAGCTTTCATGATCTTCAGGCGCTCCAGCTCCCTGGCAGGCTACACAGCTCCAAGGACCTCCTCCGTGATACGCAGCCTACTATGCCTTTCTCCTGGTGAGCCCCACCCACCTGGCTCGCAAACTGGCAAACCCTACCCGGTGTTAGGCCAGCCAGAGGGAAGACTGTCTACAGCAACTACAAACACAAAGCAGAGAGGCTTATACCTGTGTGCTTGACCCACTGGTTCAGGCAGTAGAGACAGGCATAGCAGCCAGGAAGCAGGAAAGAGCTCTTTCCTCCCCTCAGGCACCAATACCACACCCCTGTGACCCCCAACATGCTTCAGGGGCTGAGCAGCTCCAGAGAGTAGGGCTTCTGGACACTAGAGGGCACCATATACACATATGAAATGCCAAAGGAACCTGGTTCAAAGTAAAATTATTAATACAACTCCTGAGAAAGACTTAAATGACATTGACCTCATAAATCTTCCTGAAAGGGAGTTCAAAATAAAAATCATTAACATGCTCATAGAAGTACAGAAAGATATCCAAGAACTCAGGAATGAATTCCAGTTGGAGATCCAATGGTTGAAGAGCACAGTGGAGGGTATTAAAAGCAGATAAGACACGGTGGAGGAGACGATAAATCAAACAGAAACTAGAGAAGAGGAATACAAAGAAGCTGAGGCACAGAGAGAAAAAAGGATCTCTAAGAATGAAAGAATATTGAGAGAACTGTGTGACCAAGCAAAATGGAACAATATTCGCATTATAGGGGTACCAGAAGAAGAAGAAGAGAGAAAGGGATAGAAAGTGTCTTTGAGGAGGTAATTGATGAAAACTTCCCCAATCTGGGGAAGGAGATAGTCTCTCAGGCCATGGAGGGGCACAGATCTCCCAACACAAGGGACCCAAGGAAGACAACACCAAGACATATAGTACTTAAAATGGCAAAGATCGAGGATAAGGACAGACTATTAAAAGCAGCCAGAGAGAAAAATAAGATCACATACAAAGGAAAGCCCATCAGGCTATCATCAGACTTCTCAGCAGAAACCTTACAGGCCAGAAGGGAGTGGCTGTAAATGGCATGATGTATTTAATGCAATGAAGCAGAAGGGACTTGAACTAAGATTACTTTATCTGGCAATATTATCACTTAAATTTGAAGGAGTGATTAACCAATTTCCAGATAAGCAAAAGCTGAGAGAATTTACATCCCACAAACCATCTTGACAGTGTATTTTGGAGGGACT